TTTTTGAATTACATTCTTAATTTATTCTTTATTTGAGAAGTGTCAATTCGTTTTTTATAAACTGTTTTCAACGTTCGACTAATTTCTTTTCATTGTTTGAAATTTATAATGTCAGTTTTCTATAGTTTGTTTCAAGCGTGATTTTAATTACAGTGTTCTGTTTTGCCCTTGCCAAGAATGACAACACACTCGTTGTAGATATTAACTTGTAACAGCAATACTGACACTTTATTATCCTCACCAAGGAAATTTGTACAAAAGTTTAAATGAATGTGTTCATTAAAGCATTTGTTATTTTTAAGTGACTTTGCTGTATTAAACATAATAAAATGGACCCCATATTACAATGCCATAAAATGGTTTCACATTAAATGGTTGATTCGAGCAGTCAAGTCTTTTCAATGTTTTTGAATGCAATGAATAATTTGAATTCCGGATTTAATCAAGCCATTGTAAAGCCTAAATATGCAGTATTTAAACAATTTCCACAATTTCTTGGCTTAAGAATTTTATTTACTACTAGAGTAATGATAATCAAGATAATATTAAATGTAGTAAGATGAAATCAATAATTCTTTTAATATTTACATCACCTGGCTCATTGTTTTTCAGGTCCTGAAATGTATAGTATACCCTTTAGATCAAGCTAGTGAGCATACCCAAGTCTGAATATTATAAATCACAGTTATGGACTATGATGAAATCAATACTTCTTTTAATCATTTTATCGACTCGCGCATTATTTTTCTTCAATGTTTACACTGCTTCCTTTATTCATTTAATATATTGTCCGATTTTTTACACATTTTTCTTAATGTATTTTTTGTTTGCTTTATGTTAAAGGGCGGTGGTCTTCGCGCCGCGCATGTGCTTGTGTTGATAAATATTGATTTTCCCATAATCCAGTGCGCATACATTTTGACCCAGGCGCAATGTGCATTGATTGCCGTTGTTGACAACTTCGATATATTTCTTTCTCAAAGAAAATGCTTAGTTTAAGCTGGGTAACGCCCTAGTTTGTACTCGTTGGTCTCTACAATAGTCAAAGTTAACATTTTTGTTCATATGAGACTCATATCTTGCGCATGCATGGTGCGACGACCACCGCCCTTTAATTGATTCACCACTTCACTAAAATATTTTTATTTTTATAATATTGTATGATATTATGTTAGTATCGTATGTTAATTGGCTCTGCTTTCATCTATTTCCCAAATCTATTTCATGTTGCTCAGCTACTCAGCACGAGCTGTTAAACAAGGGTTTCTGTTGTTGTTTTTCTTGACAACAGAAATAACCTTTAAGTTGCCTCCCCAACACTTTTTCAAAATATTTGTTAATTTATTACTACTTCCATATATATTACTTTTTTGTTCAAGAATTTCTGGTTTAAGGATATTTTGCAGCTGCCCACTAACTTGGTTTTGCTGTCAAAGTCAAATTTGAGCAGATTTGCAGTCTTGTTAAACGAAAGTAATTTACCTTATTTTTGTCATTTTCGTGTTCTATTTTTTTATTAATTTCAATTTCATTATAATTGAACAATGAGATGACAAAATAAAATATCACCAGACAAGATACATACAGTAACCAATAACACTGCCGATAAGTGTCGCGGATCGATTCACACAATAAATCTGTTAGAAGTGAAAAAAAATTAACGTGTTTTTAATTTTATTCTAATAACATGTTATTAAGATAAATGTCGTATTCTCATTTGTATGCTCAATCACGAATAACCCAGTTATTGCTAAATGTCTGCCAAAGTGGACACGGCCTTATTGCAAATAATTACCGTCTTGTGATGTCCACATATAATGTATGTCAAGCTAAGGGGTCTTTTCTAGTAACAGCACAATGTGTCTTGTACCTTCCAACGCCTCAAATTCCCATTAAGGGTACGTGCAATATTAAAACCGCAAGAAATGTTTCGCATTTCACGTCAAAAATCATATGGTTGCCATGGAATTGTACAACTGATGTATTTACTCTAGTGAATATCTGTACTTCGTTAACTGGAGATCATCTTTTTTCATTCTGACATTCACATCGTCATTTCTCGCATCGCGTTCATCACTTCTCAAGGATGCTGTTTGTAATCCCTGATAAAATGAGCTGTTATCTGCGTGCGCTGAGCTTTACAATATTTTGTGTGCTGCCAGTTATTGCTCAATCCAGTATATATAAATACGGTAAGTTATTACGCATGTGTACGTTATCGGTGGCGATTAAGTCGCGGAGACGATTTTTAAAGATTTATTTTTTTAAGACGATATAGACCGTAGACGTAATCAATTTATTGCCATGGTCGACAATCTATTCGGATATAAGAACAATCGTTCGCGTCGACCGCGCGGCCCTCCCATTGATATTCATTTCCGCATTCAATACCCTTGTCTATACATAATACAATGAATAATGAATTCAAATCTACCACCAGCGCAACCAATCATAAGATCACCTATAATTGGATCGCCAATTAATGAAGAACGTGTTTATAGTTTTTGAAGTTATTCATTAATGTTATATTACTAATTTATTTACAATTAATCCATCATTGAATGACGTTAATTTCATTGATCGGGGAATCAATGCGTGTCTCGATTGACCTCTGCCGATTGAATCAGAAACGGTAAGTTTCCGAGAAGGGCCTCAAATGTATGCAATCATTTCTTTGTCGTTGCTACGATCAATAAAAACGTGTCTAGTTAGTTATGTATGTGTATAACAGTAACAAATTCATCTTATTTCTTGGTTAGCGGGAATGTTCAAGTTTTCTCAACATTTCTATAACGATGACGGTCAATTATTTAAGAACTGGTACTCGAAATTCTAATATAGTGTGTTCAACTTGAAAGAAGTAATTGATGTTGATTTTATGAATCACTGCTTTGATGAAATAATGCTGTAGAATACTTTATTTCTGCTTGGAATTTATTTCCATTATTTTCGCTGTAGGGATGCTTCAGTGAAAATAAAATCCAGCGAATATACTTTTTTTTTCTATATTTAAAATTCAACTCATCAAAAATCAGTGTAAATAAATTCCATACAAAACACCCAAAAAAGCCTTTCAGCGAAAATTAATTCCAGCTAAAATAAAGTATTTTACATTTTATATATATATATATATATATATATATATATATATATATATATATATATATATATATATATATATATATATATATATAAACATTATCATTAAATAAACTTCTCTCTATGGGTGTGATTATCGAAATACATTCAAATCGCTAAATCGTGTATCCGTTATGGGGCCCAGTGAATGCTACAATCTCCCGTGTAGTACAAATCGCCCTGAGTTCTGAACATGCTTGCGTTAAAACTGATCTGAAACTGACATTTAATGATATGATCCAACGAGTGGAAATCTAACAAGGTTAAATTGGCATAATTTGACATTCCATGACAGTAGTGCATGTATATCAACATGCGTAATCTTTTTAATTTTACAAAGTGGCATCATATAAATTGTTTCATGTCAAATTGTATTTAAGGGGGAAAAGGGAAGAAATAATTAAATCTTTTACTGAACAATCATAAAAAAGCACTATCCTCACATAAAAATATATCAATATACTTAAGTTTCCAATCTCTAGTGTTTATATGGAAACAATAGTATAAATTGTATTATGATTTATCACCTCCGACTGCCGCGGAAGACATTTTAAATCGAGTCATGTCCAAAAACTTAAAGCGCAGTGGTCGTCGCGCAGCGCGTGTTAGAATTTCATGTACATAGACAACGTATTTTACACGCGTTGTATACGTCGCTGTGAGTCCCATATTGAACAGGGCGCGGCACGGCGACTGCCGCCCTTTAATTAACACAAGACCAGTTACTTAAATATTTTTTAAAGCCGCGGCCTAAACGAAATTTGCGCGAATTCGTTCGTTATAAATGTATTAGTATTACGTCAATCCATCAACGGAACCGGTGTTTATGTGAGTCCCTTCCGAGATGTATTTGAAATAAGCGCTTGTTATATTTGTGTCATGAGTGTATCCATTATTGTACAATCGTTACATCTTCGTGGTAAGTGTAGTACATTGCACATCTACACGTAATTCGATAACATCACGCGATGGGCCACGTGATCCTATACTAGTACTACTCCAACATGAGTAATATGCACTATTTTGAAATTACCCTCTACAATATTTGCATTTTTGTTTAAATTTATATAGTTAATCGCACCTCGTATCCGTGGTGTTTCAAGTGAAACAAACACACTAATGGCCAGCATCCTGTAAATGACACGAGACCGAAGGCTGACCATGAGAGTGGCTGTTACACTTAGAGCTACACAGCTACGAGGTGCGATTAACGACTCATACCACGACAATCCGACGAAAACGCGAAATAAATGCACACACGGCTTTGCCCCATTTCCTTCAGTGGAAAGCCACATTTGCATAATCACAGGTGGCTCAATTCAGTGTATTGTGCTAACCACGTGACGACGAAAGTATGCATAAAACGTCTACTTTAGTATTCTTTCCCAATTATAACTCTCATAGAGTATGCGTTACTGTTATTGTCTACCAATGCGAAAGCCTTTCCATTTTAAACAATAGAGGAAGATCTCTCATTCATATCTTAAATTCCAAACCTTGACACGTGACCAAGCTTAAAGGGCGGCAGTCGTCGTGCCGCGTCCTGGTCGACATGGGACTCATAGCGACGTATACAACGCGTATAAAATACATTGTTTATTTACATGTAATTCGAACACGCGCTGCGTGACGACCACCGCGCTTTAAAGTTCAGAAATGCCCGCCGACACTAATAAGTGTGCAAACTACCAATCTATAAGCCGTGGTAATTTCTAATATGCATGTGAAAAAATAGTTCCGATAATAACTACATGTGACAAAAACTGTAGTTGATTACAAATCTACATAGATACAAAAAACCAAGAACTGCGGAATTACACAAATATACGACCAGAACAATTGATCACGTGACCAAGAATGGTATCAATTAACACCGCGGTAGTGTGTGCGATTTTACAAGTCCCTTAATATAACGCATTTAATAATAGTTGTGTTAATTTTACAGTATAAGTATTGTGTCATGCGTGTCATTGAAATTCAAAGTAGCTCAGGAGGGGAAAGAGGGGACTTTTGAACTCGTGATAATTGCATACGCGTCTTCAGGTTATTGAGTGTGAATTAGTGGTTCAGTGAATCGGAACGTTTCCCTGAAACAATCTTTGTTCGACTGAAAGCCTGTGATCTTTTTAGAACTCTGAGTGTCACTAAACAGTCCTACAACGCGGGTTAATCAATCGTGACAGGTTAATCAGAGCCACAGATTAATTCCCGATGTAATACACTCGGTATACTAATTAAATTAACCCCAGCTTGTCTCAAGATCGTGATGTGAAATAATTAAGTTACGCGCATGGTTCACTGTGTCTACTGAAAGACTGTGTTCAATGTAAACACAAACAATACAAAGATTGATTTGTTGTTTAAAGCGGGGGAGTCGTGACCTGCGCATGCGTCAGATGGCCATAGCGTGTCATTGTTTACAAACAAGCGTCTACCCATGAGCCTATGCGTTTTTAGCGTGCGTTGTTATCGTCGCTTGGAACTCAATTCCCGTGCGCGCGCAGGTGATGACCCTCCCGCTTTAACGCACCAAAGTCGTCACGCATCGCGCGTTTAAAGCAACGCAGTCGTTGTACAGCGCGCGTTTAAATTTCGTGTATGCAAATAATTCCTCAAATCATAATTGTAATTATTTTGTAACCTCCAGGTGTGCATCCCTTTGAATCTGCTTGTTTGACATCGACCATAAGTTGTGTGATGCCATTGGTCTTTTGAAATGTCAAGTTAACAGGATTTGTGCAAAGGTGCACTAAGTTATTCAAGTCGTGCGATAGCTAACAGATAAACTATCCGTAACCGCCTTTGGTAAATCTGTAATCAAGTAAATAGACGCTACAACAGAGATGCATCAATGTCATAACACGCCCAAGGTGGGGCTAGATGAAGTACGTAATTGTTCTGGGCACGCTTTGCACCAATATTTTGGCAGACATTTTCAAGTGGGAAAATCTTAATTTTTTTTACACGTGTTCATAACATCCATACAGTGTTAACAAGTTAGAACATTTGACCAATGTATACTCAGTAAATATGGTTACTAATTGGCTTTAACGCCTGTGGCATAAACGGAAAAATGAGTAAACACAATTAGTCATATTCATAGTTTGGTGATATTTAGCGATAATTTGTAACAATGAAAGTTACATTTATTGATTCCGTATACTAGTAGCAATCCCCGCATAGTTCGTGTTGCATGTACCATGTTCAGTCAATGGATGTAGTCTGAGGTTCAATACAAACTGAATATACTAGCTAATAATTCGTGATAGTTATCGTCTTATTTCTGTGGTTACCCTCACATTGAAAAAATCTGCGATATACGCTTAGCAAGTGTTGATACAACAACGCACGCACGGCATTCATTCCGTGGTTCTTTTGCGTTTTTTTTTTTTTTTACAGTAAACATATAAATATATTATACGTTTGGTTTTTCTATTACATTTAATCGATTTGTTTCATTCTATTTTTGGTACGAAATGAGATTTTCAAATATAGTATTAGGAGAGTTCCAGTAATGTTTAAATTGTGATATTGGCGCCTTCTGGGGCTGCGCAGTAGTTTACCAGGTCCTCGAACTAAATGCCTTTCGATCTTGAATTCGTTTACAGCTTTCGGGAACCACGGGTCATAGATGCAGATAAGGAATGTGTTTTCAATAAGCTATTAAAATGTCAATCATTCCATGGTTTGTAAATCAACATAAATGCACTTGAAACACCAGACCCCCCCCCCCCCGACCCACATTTTTTATATCGACTGAATCGAAGTGAATAATTACGATAAAATACCATATCATCGTAATTCTTCATCTCATGTACGATTGTGTTATATGTTTCAATGACCAATTACTGAAATGGTTCTTGTAGAAACCACTTAGTGTGATTGTAATCATACACTATTTGAATGTTAATGTTACTTGCGTTATGATCACCTTTGACCTAGTTCAGTTCGTCACACTGTAGTACAAAGCTAACGTTTCCAAACTCCGTAATCCCTATTTATTTACTTTATTTATTCAGTTGAAGTGTTGAAATTCTGTACCAGCTTTCACTTG